GGCAGGATAGACTCCAAGGTGATTGACTTCCCTGTGGGTAAGGCTGGTGTGTGGGAACGAATCACGTCACTGGTAAATGAACCAAACAGACTTCTCTCCACCTCAACATGGCTTTGTTGTTTTCAATTCACTGGCATATATGTAGCAACTATCAGTAAGCACCTAAAGTGTTGAAAAATATTTAATTTTTAAAATTTGACTGAGGAAAGTGATATAATGACATTCTTGAAGATCTTATGGACTCTTTAAATGTTAAGGATTAAGGGCATTAGAATTTTAAGAAAGATACCTTCTTTGGTAAAGAAGATATATGTTTTGAGAGGTGCTTTATGGAGTAAATGGCATTGAAATTGGCTTGGAAGGGTTTGGACATATGACATAGTAAAGGAAAGAGTTGTCCTATTGTGAGGAAGGGCATTAAATATAAGAAGATTGATACTTATCTTTCTCTGACTGGCATATTTTGCTTGGCATAATGCTCTCCAGGTCAATCCATGCTGTTGCAAATGGTAAAAGTTTTTTCTTTTTTATAGCAGTGTAGATGTACCATAGTTTTTTAATCCATTCATTGGCTGATGGTCACTTAGGCTGTTTCCAAATCTTAGCATCACATGATCTCACTCATTTGTTGAATATCATGAACAAAACAGATCCAGAGACAGAGAATCATGGAACAGACTATCAACCCTCAGAGGGAAGGCAGGAGCGGGCAGGATAAGAGATAAACCAAAGAACTTGTGTGCATATAAGCATAACCAATAGACACAGACAGTGGGAGAGAGGGTTGTGAGGGCCTGGGCTGGGGGCAGGCTGGGAGAGGACAATGGGGGGGAAAGGGGACATATGTAATACTTTCAACAATAAAGAATTTAAAAAATTAAATATATATATATGAAGATTGAATCAACAATGAAATACCACTACACATCTATCAAAAAGGCTAAAAATTTTTAAATGGTAATACGAAATGCTGACAAGGATGTGGAACCATAGGAACTCTCATTCGTTACTAGTGGGAATGCAAATGATATGGCCACTGGGACAGTTTTTCATTTTCTTGCACAGCTCAAGTCAAAATTCCAGGTATTAGATGTTAAAAGAAGCTTTATTCAAAGTCACCAATAAATGAAAGCAACCAAGATGTCCTTTAATAGGTGAATGGGTAAATAAACTGTGGCACATTCATACAATGAAATATTATTTAACAATAAAAAGAGATGAGCTATTAAGCCACAAAAAGATAATGAGAAACCTTAAGCGCATAATGTTGAGTACAGTAAGCCATCTGAATATTGTATTATTCAAATTATATAATATTCTGAAAAAGATAAAACTATAGAGACAGTGAAAGGGAACAGTGGAATAGGTGAAACACAGGAGATATTTTAAGGCAGTGTAAATATTCTGTATGGAACTGTAATTATAGAAACATGATATTATTCATTTGTCAAAACCCAAAGAAATTTACAACATAAAAGAGCGAACATAATCTGTGTAGATATTTTTAAAAATTGTTTAGGAGGCTGAGTGATTCCAGGAAGGAATGAAAACTTTGACAAGAGAATCTAAATGTATCATAGATGTATAAAACCACCTCACCAAAGAGGGTGTGCAAAAAGGTACTGTTTTACGAAACTTAAAAATTAGTAGGGTCTGCCAGTCTAAAGACAAAAGGAACCATCATAATGACTATCCTCTAATTGATAGAGTTGTTTCTCACAGGTCAATAGGTTAACAATTCTGATATTGTTATACATGTAAACTGAAACCGAATAATTAAGTAAATGGATGGTGGACATCCAGGTTTTTCCTTGTAAGAGTAGGAGTTTATAGATAAGCAAAAGGAGGACGTGAGAATGACCCATGTGGTGATGGATTAGAGTTGAAGACATCAGTCTGAACTAATAAATATTTAAGTTAATATTGATACATATGGGTATATGTAGAAATATTTGTAAATCTATGTACACTAATCACAATTTAGTAAACATATACAGATTTCCTTGCTCTATCACCTGAGAGGAAAGAACAGTTTCTTGAGGAGAAAAAAAGAGGGGAGGAGGAGAAGGTGGACGTTGGCTTGAAGAACAGTGAGGATAGCAGATGTAGGCATTGCCAAGCCTTATTCTTCCCTTGAAGCCAACCTCTGCACTCTGAGCCCAGCTCAGCCAGAAGTGACTCTCTGCATGTTCCTTCAAACTGTGCCTACAGGAAGTGGGTGCCATCTCTAAGGCTAAGTGGAAGCAGCATGGAAAAACCTTGTTTGCATAGTGTCAGCAGATACAATGCCCAGCACTTAGCGGTTCCCAATTGCTGGAAAATGCAGCTGAGAAAACGCATGATCCATTTCCTGTAAGTGTGATTCCTGAGGGTTATTTGGGGCAATCAACAAGTTATTCTGCAAGACTTGTTCTCAGGCACAACTCCAATTTTGTTTAATGAGAGTTTTACTGAAGGCCCTTAGAACATGATCTTTTATTATGTAGATAATCAGCAGAACCTGCTCATCCCTTAATGTGAGCAACTGAGATGGAGGGCTGTAACAACTGAGATAAAATCATAGCTTTACTATGTAGCCCATTAGCTGGGTAGAAACTGCATCCTGAGGTCATAAGTAGTTATTAGCTAGTTAATGACAACTGCAGTCTAATCATTACATTTACATCTGATGAATAGGGATGAGGCCTTCTTTGCCTTTTCAGCACTCAAACTATTTACTACAGTGTTTTAATACCCTGGGTGGTACAATTTGCAAAATTGAAAAGACCCATCATTCCCCCTACCTCGAAGAAACATAGTAAATAAAAATAAATGAAAAAATTAGGCGGGTTTTCTCAGACTATTCAGCCTTACATTAATATCTGTCATCTGTGTATTCCTACAGTGCTTCAATCTCATTGGAGATGGGATTGAACCTAGGACCAATGTGCTAGATATGCAATCGTGTGACCCTGAGTGAGTCATTTAGCATTTCCAAGATTCAGTGTCCTCACCTGTTACATGAGATTGCCCAGCTCTTTCTTACAGATCTTCCATGCTATGGCACCAAGACTGTATATTCTGAATGACAATAACAAATTAATACTTAGCCTTGGTATGTTCTCTCTTGGGCTACTTTTAAAAACAAATATTTCCTGCATTGTCCTATTTTCCTAAATGGTCCCTGAAATTGAGAAATGTAAAATACTTGTTAAATTCAGCAATAACCCTTTTTCTCCCGTTGTAGACACAAATTAATCCACAATATAGTTTTTGGTGGATTTAACCCCAAAGATACGTATTTTGAGCCTGTTTTCCAGTTTGTTTAACTAAGGGCTTCTGCTTTAATTGGAGCTATTTGGACTAGGACATAATATTTGCTCGGGCAGGCTTCCTGATCAGTATAGAAAACAAAATGTGATCCACAAATATTGAAAGGTACACGTGTTCAGAAGTCTTAGGTTTAGAAAGAAATTAGGTCTGAAAACATTAGCGTCAGGAATGGAAAGTTAAGCATTGTAGTAATAGTGAACTTGCAAATTCTGAGGAAGCCCATGTGTGAGTCAAGCTAATTTCCCTGAGGTTCAGGAAGGTTTTGTTGTACAGGTAAAGAGGGCTAAGCATCAGAGTGTAAGACTGCTTTGTTAGCTTGGAGACAGGCAAACTTAGACACACAGCAATCTCCCTGAGCTCCTCTGACCTGTCAGTATCCATCTCCCAGGGCGGGTGCCTGTGAGGATAATGCAGGAAAAGCATTGTGCAGAGCCCCTGGCACATAGTACTTCACCAAGTACTAGCTGCTGCGTGAGCGGCAGTGGTGGGTGTCAGCATTGTGCAGAAAAATGCCAACACCACCAGATTTGGGATCATAAAATCCCTGCTGCGAGTCTTGTCAATGACTGCATGGAATAGGGTTAGCGACTATGTTTGTGAACACATTTTTTTAACTGAAAAATGGATTTCAGGAGCATATTCATTTTTGTGGTACTTCATTGGTCAGCCTGAAATGAGTAAGAATGAGTTTGCTTTGTAAATTGTAAAGCACTCTGAAATTGTTCTTGCTTTGTCCTCAAGCATGCACCCACAGCCTTGGCTTCTTCTCCGTGAGCGGTTCCTACGCCTCCTTCATGGAAGGCTGCCACTGCCCAGGGCCCCCAGAACTTCACCTGAAATGACTGATTAAAAGTGCCCAGTGATTTGCTTGGTGAACCACATGCAGTATTGTATTTGGAAGGCATGGAAATCTAATCAGATTTTCTGACTCGTGAGACTGAGCAGCACCAAATATGATTTTTCTGAGCACCTCTCTGGAGCGGCTGATGGGCCAGTGTTGAGATGGTGTCAGCCTGGTGGCAAGAGCGGGTGGGGGTGGTCAGGTGGAGCAGAGGAGAGAGCAGTCGATGGGAAACCCAGGAGCCACGGTTCATGGTGGCCAGCTGACTGCCTTTACAGCTTCCTGGGCTGTGTGATGGTCACCTCTGAAAAGGGACTCATTCTGGAGGAATGGTCAGCAGCTGGCCGTGCTAGTGAGACAGAATGGTATTTAAATCCTTTTATGCAGTAAGGATGCAGGAGATAAAATGTAATATACATTTCAGAGGGTAATCTAATTCATTCCAAAACCAGTGCCTCTTGCCACCTTAGTAAATGGAGAGCCCATTATCTGCTCCAAGGGGAAGGAAGGGGGTCGGCAGATGTAAATTGCTTTGTCAGGTGTGCGATTTGCAGGATCCGCTGCTCCAGAGTGATAGCAGCTTTCTTTCCATATTAGTTTATGTGTGGAAATAAACTTCCGAAGCTTGGCCTGAACCCCATGGGTACTTTCAAATCAGTGGCGGCTACCCAACTTAAATTTATATCACAAGAAAGAGTACCTTCCTAAGCTCAATGCCTTTTGTTTCTAAACTTTCCATTTTTTTAAGAATAGGAGTTGCCTTCAAAGGCGGTTGTGTATTGTGGGTTGGAATAATGAAATAGCTCATTGTACAACCAACCCACTTACAAGAGCGAACGTGCCATTCTGAGTTTTGGTACATTCCTTTTTATTCAGTCATGTCACAGAGAGGCCACGAGTTCTGCTGAGGTATTCAGGAGCCACTGTAAAGCAGGAAGAGAAGAAAGAGAAAGGTCACATAGGATGGGCAGCCTCTCGCTCCAACCAGACCCAGCCCCCACTGTAATCATAGCAGCTCAACTTTTGTTGTTCACTGTAGTGTGGCTGCTCACAAGGTGTGTTTTGTTGTTGTTAAAAGAGGATTCTACTCAAGGGACTTAGATGTTGAGAAGGAAAAAAAAATATTAAATTTATTGGGATGACATTGGTTAATAAATTCATATAGGTTTCAAGTGTGCAGTTCATCTATATATAACAATGTGTGTTTACCACCCAAAGTCATTTCAGACTTATTGAAATATGTTTTGTAGCCTAACATAAGGTCAGTTCTAGAGAATGTTCCAGGTGTATTTGAGAGGAATAGATTTATTCTAACCATTGTTGGATGGAATGCTCTATAGATGTCTTTTATGTCTAGTTTTTTGGTTCAAATTTTCTATTTCCTTATTGATCTTGTTTTATCTATTACTTAAATTGGGATATATTAAAGTCTACAACTATTATTGTTGAATTTTATAGCCTTCCCTGTATATTTTTGATAATTTTTTTTATATCATTATAAAATACTAGAGTTTCGGTACATGAAATTCATGCACGGGTAGGGTCCCTAGCCCTAGCTGGCAATCAGGGCCAATCTGTGGGGCAACCAGCAGGGTGATCAGGGGGCACCCGGCCTAAGCTGCAGTCTGGCCTCCCTTTGTGGGAGGCCACCAGGCTGATCAGGGGAAGGCACCAGCCCCATCACCCCGCTGCTGCAGCCACTGCCAGTCACCGCAGCCACCAAGGTCTTTTCATCAACATGGACTCCAGTCCCTTCACCATGAAAAAATGACAACTTTCTTTAGGCATTTTCAAGATGTGTCTTTCATAGGATATGACATTTCTTTATTATTTTTTTTTATCCTCACCTGAGGATATGTTTCCATTGATTTTTAGAGAATATGGAAGAGAAAGGGAAAGACAGAAACATCAAAGTGAGAGGAACACTTTGATTGGTTGCCTCCTGCATGAGCCCTGACCTGGGCCCCGGCCAGAGAGGAGCCTGCAACCTAGGTACATGCCCTTGGTCAGAATTGAACCCAGACCCTGCGGTGGGCAGGCCCAGGCATTATCTACTGAGCCAAACTGGCTAGGGCAGGATATGACATTTCTTAGCCCTCCAGCAGCGGACCTTCTGGATTCTTATTACCCAAGTTACTAAGAATATTACCAGTGGCATACAGGGAGCTTAGCCAATGAGTGGTCAGAAAAGGTGTTTCCTCTATAGTTCACACCGATCCCCAGCTCAGCCCCTGCCCAGGCCTAAGGCCTCTGGCTGGGGTGTTAGCCTAGGCAGGGGATCCCCAGCCCCCTGCGATTGCCAGCTCCACCCCTGCCCAGGCCTCAAGCCTCTGGGAGCCTTAGGCCTGGGCAGGGGCCCCCTCAGCTCTGATTGCAGGCTCAGGCCCTGCCCAGGAGTCCCCTGGCCCAGGCCCTTCCTAGGCTGCTCAGGGACCACACGGGGCCTACCTCGGAGTGACCTGGGTGCCCTATGATGTTTCCCGAACCCAGGCCACTGGTGCCTAGAATGCAAATTAACCGCCATCTTAGTTGGGTTAATTTGCATATTCACTCCTAATTGGCTGGTGGGTGTGGCTGGTGGGCATGGCTGGATGGTGTAGCGAAGGTATGGTCAATTTTCATGTTTCTCTTTTATTAGATTAGATTGTTCTTTATCTCTAGTAACAGTTTTTGTCTTAAAGTCTGTTTTGCCTGATATTAGTATAGTCACCCCAGCTTTCTTTTAGTCACTGTTTGCATACTGTTTCTTTTCACATCCTTTTATTTTTGGCCTATATGGGTGATAATATAAAGTATGTGTCTGATAGACAACATTCAGTTGGATTAAGGTTCCTTTCAAACCATTTTGCTATTCTCTGCCTCTTAACTTGAGAAATTAAGAAATTCAAATTTAATGGGATTACAGATAAGGTAGAATTTATATATGCCATTTTCCTATATAATATTTATAGGTATTTTGTCTTTTATGTGTCCCTCCTCCTCCATTACTGCCTTTATAGTGTTAAATAGATATTTCTAATGTATATCTTCATCCCCTTATAATTTTTTTTACTATGTTTTTTAATTATTTTCTTAGTGGTTGCCTTAGGGGTTATAATTTTCATGTCAATTTAAAATAGTTTACATTAATCAAATTTTATTTCAATACTACACAAAAATTTTGCTCCTAAATATCTTCACCATGTTCTTTGTGCTGCTATTGTCATACAAAGTAGTTCTATACAGAACTACACATTATGCATTCATGTTGATGGGTACATAATTATTGCTTTATGCAGTTTTCTTTTCAATCAGATAAGAGGAAAAAAAGAGCTACAAACAAATAGATAAATTATCAAGGGGGAGGAGGGTTATACGTATATATGTAGTTACCTTACCAGTATTTTTATTTATGTGGATTAGAGTGACTTTCTAGAGTGCCTTCATTTCAGCCTAAACGATCTATGTAGTCTTTCTTGCAGGATAGGTGAAGTAAGTGATGAATTCTGTCAGTTTTTGTTCATCTGAAATGTCTACAGTTCTTATGCTTGGAGGATGGTTTCTCTGGGTATGGAATTCGTGTCTCCTTAGCACTTTGAAGCTGTCATCCCACTGCCTTCTCCACAGTTTCTAGTGACAAATCAGCTGTAATTGTTATTGAAGATCCTTTGTAAATGATCAGTTTCTTCTCTTTTGCTGCTTTTAAGAATCTCTCTTTCTTAGATGTTTGACAGTTCAGTTATTGTGTCTGAGCTTATATCTCTGAGTTTATCCTTCTAAGAGTTTATTGAACTTCTTAGATATATTTTTATGCAGCATTTCTTCAACTATATCCAATGTCTTGGCTTCCTCAAGGACAGTCTTTGTTGAATACTTTATCTTCAACATAATATACAGGCTATAGTTTTTTATGTCTCTGTTTGTCTCATGTTTTGTTTTGTCTTTCCTTTCAAGTTGGACATTTAAAATAAATGTGGAAACTCTGGAAATCAGATTCTCTCCCTGCCCAGAGTTTGTTGTTTATTTTTTTAGTGACTTTTCTGAATTAATTCTTTGTTGTGTGGGCACTGCAGCCTCTGCTCACTTTGATTAAATGCTTGGATAGAGATTTCCTTAAGTTCTTGGACCCGATGAGTCTCCCAGCTGTTGCTGAGGAACTCTGTGTATGTTGGGGCACACCTTTAATGCTCTTCCATGCAGGTAACAACCCTCGCTTAGCCTCCTGCTTCTGCTACAAGGCCTTCCCAGGTGTTTCTTGAGTGTTTACATAGCCCTGTGCATGCGCACGGCTTTCCAGATTCTGCGGAATACATCAGCACTTTGCAAAGCCCCCTTTGGACTTATTCCCTAGATTTCCTTTTAATTAAGCTTTTTGGTTAGCCTATTATTTGCCCCAACTGTTATCTACTGCCTCAAATACTGAGCTTCATTTCTATCAAATAAAGATCTCCTTGTTAGTGGGGTCTCTCAGGAAATCACCAAACAGGTCAAACAATGATAAATTCTCTATTAATGGGGTTTTGAAAGAGCTCCAATCTCATCCTTTTCCCTCCAGCCGCTATCAGTTTTTACCATGATTGCAGGCTGTGGGTTTTGAAGGCTGATGTGGTGCAAATAGGGCAAGTGGAAATGCCATAATGCTCACTCTCTTACCTAGATTCAGCTGTTGTTTTAAAATAAACATTCCTATGGTTTCAATGCTACTTAACTTTTTCAGAACTCTGGAAATGAGATTCTGACCAATTTGCTACTTCTATAGAGGAGGAGATCTTCTGACATCTTTCCTCTGCCATTTTTGCTGTTGTCCTTTGTCTTTCACTTCCCATGTACTTCTCTGGCACCGGTGAAGTTAGGTGCTCACAATGATAATGCAAAATGGACTCTCCTTTACTAAGAGCAGGGACTGTAGGTCACTGTGGGATCCACAGGATGACAAAGTCAGCTTACAAAATGAAATGAGCCAGCCAAGTCTGTCCTCTGAGGAGCTGGGTGGTGTTCTAGTGTGGCTGAAGCAGGCCTCCGGGTATTTGGGTTCTGCAGCCTCTTAGGAGGGCCTCCAGTTCAGGCCAAGATCAGCCACCATTTGTGCTCGGCTTGGGACCTCCTGCTGGGAGCTACATAGTAATCTGTGGTGGGTTGCTGCTTGAAGATGTTTGGGAGAGGCTGTGTTATGGACCATGGCTAGCTGCCGCTAGTACCAGGCTTTGGACCCCTTGGTGGGCACTATGATATGAGCTGAGTTCAGCCCCCACTTGTGCTGCTTACTTGAAGCTGGGTTCCAAGCCGACACTGGCTACAGCTATGCCAGGCTTGGGGGCTACCTGCTGGAGTGACAATACAAGTTGAGACTGCTCAAGGCAGGCCTGGGACCGCTGAGCCAGAGGCACAGGGCATGCTGAAGCCAGCCCCTTCTTGTTTGGGGTTTGTGGACCTTTGAAAGTCTGCCTCATGAGCTGCGGGGGTGCTTGCAAAGAAAAGCCACTTGAAGAGGTTCAGTCAGGCACCTGAGTTGGGTGGAGTGAATGGTGTTACCCAGGTTACTGAATAGCTCAGCTGAGTGGGAGGAGCGTTTAACAAAGGAGCAATGGTGCCTGCCAGCATTTCCATCCCAGGAGAGGGCTACCCCTGCAGACCTCATCCTGGAGCCAAAGGGGCTGAGTTTTTAAACAAGTGATTCTGTGCACAGGCCCCTAAAGAGGAATACCTGGGACTCCTGAAGCCTTCATCTCCTTGGATGCAATCCCCACTTGTTTTCACAGCCAGGTGGCATGTGGAAACCTCTCCCCAGCACTGGTGCCCTTGCCTAAGGAATCCGGTGTGGGGACCTCTGCTGCCAAGATACCCCTCTGATTCTTAATTGCCACAACATTCTTAATGTTGATGTGTTTGTGGGAGGTGGTGATCACAATGATTACTCACTCTGCCATCTTGAACAGAAGTCCACATTTCTTGAAGACGTTGAAGGAGTCTGTGGGAGAAGCCCAAAGGGCTCAGTTAGATGGTGGCAGGAGCTGAGGTAACCAGAGTCACATGGGCATTAGGGTCTGGAGGAAAATGGGTTCCCAATGACTCCTGGGAGAATAGAATATATTTCTATTCCTGTGTCTGGACTTAGCACAAGACCCAAGCAAGAACAATATCTTCACTGACCATCACCCAGCTATGAGCTCTCCTTGGTCTGAACTGGTCTTACAATCAGCACTTCTTTTGTGTATTCTCTGAATGTGAGACCAGAGTTCTTCAACTAAATACCAAACCTCTGGCATGCAGAGAGCAGCCTTAACTATACAATTTCTTATAATTATTGACACTCACCACCTGTACATTTTAAATGTACAGGTGTCTAGCAGGTATCAACCTCTCCTGCTATAACATATGCTATTCCAGTGAGTGACAGTGTCCCATGGGTATCTCAGGCCTTGATGAGGCCTCAAAATCGATATAACTCTGATGACACCTTGTAAGTGCTACAGTAATCAGCACAATTACTACTGATGCGCCAGCCATCATTCCCCACCTAAGGTGGTTGTGGCATAGGTGCTGTCCGTTAAGGGTGATTCTCAACATCCTAGCTCTAACTCTCCTCCTTTCTCATCCTGTTTAGAAAGCATGTCATAGTAAGAGTGGCATAATTTCAGTGATTACCCTGTGTCCATACTAATCATTTGTTTAAATCATTTTTAAATGTCACTACTTTGCAGTGAGGAAACATTATTCAAGAGCCCATCTCACAATTGTTAGAAAACATCAGTGCCATAACCACACATTGAATGCTCCCATGGTGGGAAAGCTGAGGAGATAGACCAGAGTGCCTACAGATGATGTTTTGCATTGGTGACCTGATCTGCTTGCTATCAGTAACCTGACGTTTTTGGGTAGTGACTTGAATACATTTCTTTATACCCGGAAGATTTTTCTTTTACAGTCACTACGCAAATACATTGGGTTTGTATTCTGGCTTAACAACTTAATAGTTTTGTTTTTTATAGTTTGGCAAATTAGTTAATTTCTCTGTCCTCAGTTTTCACATCTTTAAAAATGAGCCTAATTATTCTGTATATATCAATGTCACATGCTTAGAACAGTGCCTAGTAATGGATAAGTGCTCAATAAATCTTCATTGTTGGTATAAACATCACTATACTCACAAGTCATTTTATGATGCAGATTTTTCCCCCATATAATGTCACTAAGATGTATTTCATAGGCTATAGCATACATTTTAAGTTGCTTTATTTGGAAATGGAAGATTTTTCACAGAATCATCCACAGTATCTCTTTGATTTTTTTGGTCCCAGTATTATTGAGATATCTAATGGACATATAACACTGTGTACTTTTAAAATGTACAAAATGATCATTTGATACATGTATGTATTATGAAATGTTTACCACCATAAGGTTAGTGAACACAGTCTGTACTTCAAATAATTACCATTTTGTTGTTGTTGTTATGGTGAGAAAATTAAGGCTCTACTCCAGTGGTTCTCAACCTTCTGGCCCTTTAAATACAGTTCCTCATGTTGTGACCCAACCATAAAATTATTTTCATTGCTACTTCATAACTGTAATGTTGCTACTGTTATGAATCATAATGTAAATATCTGATATGCAGGATGGTCTTAGGCGACCCCTGTGAAAGGGTTGTTCGACCACCAAAGGGGTCGCGACCCACAGGTTGAGAACCGCTGCTCTACTCTCATAGCAACTCCCCTGTGTACAATACAGTACCAGTGACTATAGTCACATGGTGTCCCTTAAGTCCCCAGAACTCATTCATCCTATAACTGAAAGTTTTCACTCTTTGACCATAATCTTTGATCCCTCTTGATGAACACAAATGTGATTGTTATCTTTATCCTCATTACCACTGTTATAATTAATACCACTTATTGGGTGCTGGTCTAAGCACTTTGTACATATTAACTTGTTGAATCACCCGCTCAGGTAGTAATATTATTACCTCGTTTTTGCAGATGAGAAAAAAATGAGGCACAAGCTATTTTAGAAACTTAAAGAGCTAGTAAGTGCCAGAGGTAGGATTCTCCATACCCAACTCTCCTGGCTTCAGCAATGCACACATAACCTCTGCACTCTACGCATCTCACAAGTAAACATAAACGTTATAACTTCAGGGGTTACACCTACAGTTCCTAATCCAGGAGCACACTACCCACTCAGAAGATGAATCTGCGACTGTGATGTCATGTCCACCAATCTCTGGTGACAACAACTATTAAGATTCAGTCACCCAACAAATGTCACTTAGCAGTGTTTCCAGCACTGGCCTAAGCTCTGGGGTATAGCAGTGAAGGAAACAGACAAAACCTCTGCTTTCAAGGAACTGGCATCTTATCCTCGTTTAGGAGAGCAGGCATAATGCCAAGAGCATAAATAAATGATGAGTTATGTTAACGGACAATCAGTGGTATGAAGAAAATAACTCAGGGAATAAATTTTGTATGGATATGTGGGCGGTCAGTTTTAAATAGTTAGAGATAGCATCACTGAGATGGAACCATGTGAGCAAAGACCTAAAGGAGGAAATGGGAGCAAACCATATGGATATCCAGAGAAAGAGGATTGTGTGCAGAGAGAACAGCAAGGAGACCTAACAAGGAAGCTATTACATCTCAGAGTGATTCAGAGATGAGACCAGAGATTTGGAGGGGGAATGGGGCATGTCATGTAGAGCCCTGTAGACCTTTCAAAGGGACTTTTTGTTTTCTCAGTTAGATGGGAAGCCATCAAAAGGTTTTAAGCAGAGGAGTGACAGGATCTGACTGGCAAATGTTCAAGTATCATATGACAGGTGTATTGAGACGGGGATGCAGGGTGAAAGCAGGGAGACGTGTAGGAGGCATTTGCAGTATTTTAGGTAAAAATCTGCTGCTGACATTGCTAATGGTAGGACCAGCACTGGTGATGAGTAAGTAGTGAGAGTCAATATATACTGAAGATGGAGCCAATAGAATTCTGGAAAGAGTAGAGGTGAAGTATGGGAGAAATGAAGGAGTCAAAGATGACTTCATGGTTTTGGCTTGAGCAATTGGAAGGATGGAGTTGCCATCAACTGAGATGTAAATAATTGCAGATTTTGCAAAGATTTGGGGGGCAGGGTAGATGTCAGCAGATGAGTTTGAGCTATGCTGAGTTAGAAATGGCTATTCGGCACTCAAAGAAAAAATATATATCGGGAGGGTTTCATGCTGAAGGAACAAATTCTAGAGCAGGGGTGGGCAAACTTTTTGACTCGAGGGCCACAATGGGTTCTTAAACTGGACCGGAGGGCCGGAACAAAAGCATGGATGGAGTGTTTGTGTGAACTAATATAAATTCAAAGTAAACATCATTACATAGAAGGGTACGGTCTTTTTTTTTTAGTTTTATTCATTTCAAACGGGCCGGATCCAGCCCGCGGGCCGTAGTTTGCCCACGGCTGTTCTAGAGTCAGCTCTAGAAGAGAGTAAGCATAGACAGAAAAGAGAAGTCACCCTAGGAATAAGTTTCCATGACTTCATAAAAATTCAGGGAATTGAAGAGAAACCAGCCAAGGATAATGTGAAGGAATGGGCAGTGAACAAGGAAGAACACCAGGAGAGTATATATTTCTGGCAGCCAAATGTAGAAAATGTTGCAAGAAAGAGGGAGTAATAGTGGTCAAATGCTGCAATGTACAGGTGACCATTAGAGGAACAGTGTCCGGAGTGGTGGGATAAGAGCTTCATTAGAATGGGTTCAGAAGAGAATTAGAAAAGAGAAATTGGAGGCAAGAAGCATTAACAAGTCTCTTAAATAGTTATGCTATAAAGAAGAGCAGGAAAATGAGGTAATAACTGAAAGGGAAAATGAAGTCAGCAGAGGTTCTTCAAGGTGGGGGAAACCAGTATTGTGCATGCTGGTGGGAAAGATCCAACAGCGAAAGGGAGATACATGTTTCAGGAGGGAATGGGGCCTGGTGCACAGTTAAAGGTGCTGGGTTTTCATGGAAGTACAGAGGGCTCATTTCAGGGGCAAAGATCTGGGGTCAAATCTCAGCCCAGACATAGACATGCCCTCACTAGAGATCGTTGTTCTTTAACCTCTGTGGTGCTTGAAAAATATTCAACACAGAACTCCATTAGCTGTTTTTATGAGACAAAATGAAGCTTAACAGTTTTGCTCACAACAAAAGAGAAATTTTGAGCAGCTGACTTCCCAGATTGGATTAATTGACTACAGCATGTTTGTCCAAACCTTGAGTTAATACGCCTCCCACTGCCATATTTTCCTATGGCACAATCAGATTTGTGCATTTTGCACACACTCTGCCTCATCCATGACATGGACTGCCCAGGAAAGTAATTATCCCAGCAAACTAAGCTGCAGGAAAAGATAAACTGCTTAGAGGATTAAAGCTGCATATTTTATATAACCTGATGGCGCACACATCCTGGTTCCGCTTGTTGCGTTGTCTCGGCCATCTCTCCAGGACATCTAGTGCTATAGCTTTCGAGCTTTCCCATCAGCATCTTCCTGTCTCTGGTGGGAGACAGACGTGGAGAACATCTCCTCTGGCACCACTGTTCCCTGTCTCTAGGAGATGAGCTACAGGACACCCACCTCTCACAAAGACATGGGAGTTGTATCAATTTAATAGGCTGGAAAAATAATTGAGAGAGAAAAGCAACAATTCTTCCCTCCCTCTGGGGAGAGAAAAGATGGAGTTTCATCAAGGGCTCCAGGGCCTATGAGCAGGTGGCTGTTATTCCCAGGGCTTTCTTATTGGCAACCTTTTTGTACCAAGGTTGATAAAAGAGGCAAGTAGTGTCAGGAGCCCAGTCAGAGCCTTTTTAGCTGGCAGTTGTACAATGGAAAAGTGTGCTGATTAGATTGTCTAGATCAGTGGTTCTCAACCTTCCTAATGCCGTGAACCTTTAATACAGTCCCTCATGTTGTGGTGACCCCCAGCCATAAAATTATTTTCGTTGCTACTTCATAACTGTAATTTTGCTACTGTTATGAATCATAATATAAATATCTGATATGCAGGATGTATTTTCACTGTTACAAATTGAACATAATTAAAGCATAGTGATTAATCACAAAAACAATATGTAATTATATATGTGTTTCCCGATGGTATTAGGCGACCCCTGTGAAAGGGTCGTTCGGCCCCCAAAGGGGTTGCGACCCACAGGTTGAGAACCGCTGGTCTAGATGGTTGTCAGACAAAATAGGAGAAAAGGGACCTAAGTGAGGCAGAAGAGATTGAAGATAGAAAGGAGGAAGAAAGGATAGAATCAGTAAGTCAGCCACAGAAGTCTAGAATCTGTCTCCGGAGATCCTGATGAAAATGATACACAGTCCTCAGATCAAGAATGAGCAGGTTTTCACCTTCCTGGAGGCTGGGGATGGACAAGGCACCTAGCCATGTGCTCCTTTCAGTCAGGTGAGAGGATTCTCACCTGACAGGTGAGGTATTTTCCTCCTGTGCATTAGCAACACCTGAAGAATAGTCCTCAAGATTTCACATGTTGACTCTTTTCTTCACCTCTGTATTGACTTGAGTTTGTTCTATTTCCTCCTTGCTTCTTTTTTCATTTCAGCACCAACAATGACAGGCACACAGCATGTACTCGATTAATATAGGCTGCATGCTAAAGTCCTGACACAAACTCAATAATTTTGTGATAAAAACCAATACTTGCAAAATCCCCCAACTCCATTATGAGTTCACATATGCATTCCCTGCAATCTAGACTGGACATTTCCATGATTCTAGTCTCCAAGAGGACAGGGTGTCTGCACCCCCATACTCAACACAGCCTTGCACATCAAGCGACTACTGATTGAGCAAGTGGAACCCATTAATGTCCTGGATGATAGTGTACAAATGAGGAGGAGGAATCCAGATGAGAATATGTCCACAGACTGTGTCAATGTGCTTGCATTGCCCGCACGTAGTCGGCATTGTCTGAAAGACCTACCTCTTTATGCTGGCAGAGCCCCTCCTCACCTGCTCACTTGCATCAGCTCAAACCCACACATTCAACATGTCCACGCATTCATCACTGAAACAAACTTATAGACTCATATGGCATGGAGAAGGTGGCATCCAAGATTACTCCAAATATGAAAGTTGACTGGAGGGTGATAGTAGAGATACCAGCACTAGAAATAGTGTTCCTTGGGCTGCCAGGAAAGCCACATTTGTTGTTTGGAAAAGGGAATGTAACTGTTTTGTTCTAGAGTTAAGCGGTGGAATTTATAGGAACACAAATCTACAGAAATTGAAGGTTGCTTTGCAATATAGTAAAGTCTTTCAAGGAGTTGTTCAAAGAAGAACTAGGTGACTGTTAGGAATATCAGAAAGGATTTCAGAGGTAGGGGAATGATTCGTTAAGATCTTTAAAATGCCTTTCAACTGGAAAAGGCAGTATTCAGGAAATGTATACACAAAACTATGATAGTAAATTATTAGAAATCTATATATATGTAAAAGCCCAGCGACCGAATGGCAGAACGACCAGAACAACCAGTCGACCAGTCCCTATGATGCGCACTGACCACAGGGGGCAGATGCTCAACACAGGAGCTGCCCCCTGGTGGTCAGTGTGCTCCCACAGCAGGCAGATACCCACAGGCCATGCCCCGCACGAGTCCATGCACTGGGTCTCCAGTATTATTATAAAAATTATTTACTAAGTAATATTTTTCAGCCCTTTATAGTAATGAACACCATCCTTGTAACAGCTTTTTTTGAGGCAGGCACAGTTCTTATACCCATTGTAAAGATGAGGAAAATAAGTTCAGATAACTTCTGCAAGGTCACCTAGGAAGGACTATCAGAGCTGAAATTTCAACCCAGGCAGTCTGACTCCGAGCCTGCATTGCTAGCCACAATCCTCACTGCCACTTCCTATGAGCAGTAAAGCTCTTTTAAACTGGGAAACTCAAAAGGCTTTTCTGTGAATGAATGTTTTACCTGGGACCTGGAGATAAGTTTGCTAGTTGTGGAGTGGGGGGTCAAAGTCTTCTAGAACCAAGAAACATCACATGACCCTGAAAGATGGAGTGCTTGCAAAGAGCCAGAAGGAGAGAAAGAGATTCAAAGTAAGACCAGAGTTTGGGACGGGGTCAGGTGACATAGGTCATGCTTAAGGACTTTGGATTATAACCTAGTACAATGGAAAGATCTAAGAAATGGGAAGGATGAATATACCATTCAGCCATTTTTTAGGTGAGGGGGAAAGGCAGGTGAAGGCAATACACTTCCCAAGATCCTTAGAAGGCTGTTGTGAGAGTCCAGAGAAGATCAAGAAACGCACTATTATTCCTGTAAGCTGTCATAATCGGGGAAGGGGGGGGGGGGGCGCTTTGTTTCTGCGCATAACCAAGTCAAAGCTGAGTAGTTCTATAAGTAAGAATTGGCTACTGAATGGCTGCGAAGACACGTCGAAAAGAGTAGTAATGTAGGTTTCGAAAGAATGGCATTTGCAAAGACTCTGAGGAGGCAAAGAACATGAGATGTCGTATTCTCCAAGAGGCTGAAATTTCCTAATCAAAGGAGAGAGTGGCACAGAAGGACACTGAAGGATTAGTCTGGGGCCAGAGGATGTAGGACCTTGTAGGTATTTTCAGAATTTTAAATCTAATCCTAAAGGCATTAGAAAGCCAAGGGCCAATAAGATCATATTTGTGAAAGTGATAGTCTTACTTTGCAAGTCTTAAAGCATGAACAGTTATGTTATTTACATACCTTACATGATATTTCCCATTAAAAATAAAAGCCACCTTTTCACACCAGCATACATAAAAAGCTATTCTCTTACATAAGCACACCATTGTTATCATGAGCAACAAAATTAACAACACTTAACTAATGTTGAGTTTCCTATAGTTATGTTTGGCAGAGAAATAAAAGACTGAGACTTATAGAAAAGAGAGCCCCAAATATAACAGAAAGCCCTATTTATTTGATAGAAAACAGTCATTTGACCCAAGCCTATCAGAACTGTAAGGTGCCACAGAATTCCTATATTTTTAAAACCCTCATTCTTGGTGAGAAGACATGTCATAAGCTATTGACTTACCATTACATACATGGGCCTAGCAATGATGTTTCTGATCTCCAACTCAGCCCAACACCAGAGTGGAGCAGTGGGAAAGCTTGAGGGTTCTGCCCAGTTTTCAAAGGCCATAGGGAATTAACCCAGGCCAACCTCTATCAAGACATACTGCCTCTCCTGCTAATCCATTTTTTGCTACATCAATCTGAATTGTAGCATGGTATCTACATGTTTCATGTCTATCAACATCCCAGAGGGATTCCAATGGCATGATTAATGCCCATACATCCATCGTAGCTCTGTAACAAGTGGCTAAAGCCAGACATAATTTAGGGTCCTGGACTGAGTCCTGAGGCGTTCTTTAAAGCCAGTATTGTATCCGTGGGCCGGATGGGAATATTGCTTATGACAGTTTAATACAGCTGCAGTATTATAGCAATTCATCTTCAGACATCTGCACAAATGCCCTCTCTTTCCACCTCTCTAAATGCCACAGTGAGATATGTTTATAGGAGCCCTGAGAAAGGCCCATGGTACAGGATAAAGAAGAGAAATCAACCATTGCTATATTACCTACAAGTTTCAGTAGATGACAGTTGAACATAATAATAAATCAACCAACATATGTACATTTCAACATATATGTTGACTTAGAGCCTTCCTGTCTTCCAATAGGCCAGAAAATATATTCTAGATAACTTACTTGGGAATTCTGGACCCTCCCATCTTCTGTCCTCACAGTCTCTCTCTGTTCATGTATATCTTGTAAACTATAGACCTATATTTCCAAGTCCTTATGGGCCAACACCTGGCACTTTGTTGGAAGATTCTTATATGACTATTTCCTCCATGTGAACGTTCTATGAGAGCACCCAAAACAGGGGACCGCTATTTGGTTCTGAGTGCAGTAATTTATTCCACCCTGACTCCTCTTCAAGGTCAGAACTAGTGGAGAAAAAACCTAGGTGGAAGCCAAAAATATTAGCATATTCCTGGTAAAGTTGGTTAGGAGAAGGAGCCCTGGGATGGGCTCCCAGATGGGATTTCTCACCCCCTCAGACACCCCAAATTATATTTAACTGCCTAGTCCCATGCTGAGTAGCACAAGCATTGCAGGAAGTTCTTGTCTGATCTCCACAAGAAAGCAGATGATATTCTTTTTGAAGGGAGAAATTCTGAGACGGAAAAGATAGGCACTTTCTCTGGAACATATCCCTAAGTTCCTGTTTTGAAAGCCAGCAGGAATGCAGGGAAATGGAGAAAATGGTCCTCTCTCCCAGCCCCAGACGTGCCCCTCAAGCTGATCCCAGTTCATGGATTTCTTTGAAAATCATCATCTTTTACCACGGGGCTAGAAACCTGGAATTTCAACTTCAACCTACTCCTCTCCTTCTGCCCAACACATACAATGAACTACTGGGCTGCAGAGATTTTTGCCTCAACAATTTTCATGATTGTTTTCTTCTCTTCTGACTCCTTGTTACATAATCACTGGCAGCCCTCATCCCCCTGAATGGTGCCGCTGGTCTAGTAGTTCAGGGCATGGGTTCAGAGTCTGGCTCCATCACTTACCAGCTGGTGGGCCTGACCTAGGGGAAGTTACATAATGTCTCTGAGTCTCGGTTTCCTTGTCTGTAAATGGAGAAAATAATGGCACTAACCACAGGATTGCAGTGAGAGTTAAAGGAGATACATATAATGCAGATGAAATCCTTAGAATAGCACCAGGTACCTTGTGAAATCTCAAAAATATCAGGCACTAGTATCATTGTTTGTTTGTAATTACTATCTTGGGAAGTTGAAAAGCAAGTTTGAGGGCAATGACTATAGTAAAATCCAATTTTTATACAATGAACTGTGTGTGGACATGTATATATTTGATATGTTTTCATTGTAGATAAAAGTATGCAATGATAAATACCTAGGTCTTAACACTGATAGCTAAGAGGTACAGCTGTGGGAGGGTGGATGTCATTCACTTTTCCTGACACATCAATGCCCCATGTGATGTTTTACAATGAGCATGCACTGTTTGCCAATCAAAGTAAAGGGAGTGTCCCACATCAGCTTCTAGCATTCATTTAGGTCCGTGGCCGGCAAACTGCGGCTCGAGAGCCACATGCGGCTCTTTGGCCCCTTGAGTGTGGCTCTTCCTAAGCCTTAGGAGTACCCTAATTAAGTTAATAACAATGTACCTACCTATATAGTTTAAGTTTAAAAAATTGGGCTCTCAAAAGAAATTTCAATCGTTGTACTGTTGATATTTGGCTCTGTTGACTAATGAGTTTGCCGACCACTGATTTAGGTTGTTTGTGTTTTTAGAATGATCAGATTCAGAGATTTAGAAGGAGTAATCCCCTACTCAAAATTTTGCCTCCAGAATGAAATCCAAGTAGGTTTATACAAAGCCCTTCCTGATCCAGCATCTGAATTTACTCCACTAATCTCCTCTACTACCAGTTCCTTATTCCTCCTGGTCAAATCTTTCCCATACTTTCCCCCTTCACCATGCAGGACATCTCTCCCCTTGAGCATTCCATCATTCTTTATGCCATGATGAAGTACCTTTTCCCCTGCTGTGAATGCCCTTCTCTAATTCTAGTCTGTGAGGTGCTTTTTTTTCTTATATTACAAGAAAATGTGATCATTTGCCAATCTTTTCAGTTTGGCTCCTGTGGCCTCTAGTCCCAGTTGCCTTACCCATTCTTAGCCACGGTCCTACAGAACACTCAGTGGTGTACGTGGTACTTTGAGGTAGATGCCAGGCCTTTATAAGGCACCAGTGGTGCTCACTTTGCTACTCACAAGACCTTTCCCGCTTAGCGGTGGTCCTGTTTGGAGTCCTGCAGATTAAGTCTGTGATGAATGGTACTGTTGGCCCTGTCAGATTGATCACCTGAATATATCTGAGATAGTGCATGACTTCAAGGAAACTGTCATCCAATTACTTTTCTAAATGTGAGTATTCAATGGAATACTACGATGCAGTAAAAAAGAAGGAATTCTTACCATTTGCAACAGCATGGATGGAACTGGAGAGCATTACGCTAAGTGAAATAAGCCAGTCAGAGAAAGATAAATATCCCATGATCTCACTCATTTGTGGAATATAATGAACAACATAAACTGATGAACAAAAACAGATCCAGAGACAGAGAAGCATCTTTCAGACCGTCAAACTCAGAGGAAAGGTAGGGGAGGGATCAACCAAAGGACTTGTATGCATATAAGCCTAACCAATGGACACAGATACCAGGGGGGTGAGGGCATGAGTGGGGGAGAGAAGGACACATATGTACTACCTTAATCAATAAAGAAAAAAATAAAAATAAATAAATGTGAGCATGATTTTGCTTATGAAGAATCACCAAACTACATATAATCAATAGCAAGTATGGTTGTTGTGGAAAAAATTGTTGTTTTTTTCTGGGCAGTCAATGAGGAAGAAGAGAGGGAGAAAGAAGAATATGTGGGTATGTTGTGATAAAAGAAGAGAGTATATTGTCAAATTGCAATCTTCTTTTACAAATGCAGAGATAAATTTTGAAAACTTACAGTTGAATTTGGTCAGATATCCAATAGCACAGGAGAACATGGTTTAAAGGGAACTATATTAATACATTTGTAATAGTATTCTACATCATAATATGTAGTAGTATGAAATTGATAAGATGGTCTTTATATGGTAATGCAATTTGAATGGCTTTATGCAAAGATATGCGTTTTATAATAGTAGTATGAAATTGATAAGATGGTCTTTATATGGTAATGCAATTTGAATGGCTTTATGCAAAGATATGCAATGTTTTATAATCATTTAAAGCAAAAATGTCATTTTAAGTTCTATAATGTGCTAAACTGGTAAATAATGTACCAGGGTGGATTGAAAACTAGTGTATTTTATGTTTGATTCTTGAATCTTTAAGATGATGGAGGGGGGGAGGAACAAACAGAAGAACCTGAAGCAGAATATTAATGAAGTCCAATGTAATGGGTTGTTTTAGGTTTTGTTTTTTTTGTTGTTGTTATGATTAGTGTTATTTGGGTCCTGTTAAGAATTTTTTGTTAGACCACGCTCTCTACATCCAGGTTATTAAGTTGTTCTATTGTATATTATTGTGTGGGAACTTGGTTGCTGTATTTCTGATAATTTGGGAGTGACCAGAGACCAAACTGACTTTGTGTGTGTGATGTAAGGTAGGGGATGAGCTGTATTGTTTAAGGCAATTGTATTGGCACTGTGCAGGTGATGTTTTTGCCACTAGAATGCACGTGCATGAATCAGGTAACTGCCTATGTATCCATTGGTTTGAGGGTTCTATAGGGTATTCCATTGTCTATATATCTATCGCATATCAATACCATTCCTTATAACTTCTGGTGCTAGAGAATTAATTTTGATGTCTGTAAGCACGCCTCTGGGACTCTTCAGGTGTTGGAATCAGTGTCAATTTCCATGGAAAAATGCCTGCAATCATTTTTATTGGGATGAAATAGAGAAATGATACTGGCGGAACAGTGGGCATTGAATTCATGAGTATGAAGTACCCTTCCTTATGTAGGTGTTCTTATATTTCTCTCAGTAATATTTTGTGGTTTGAATGGGTTTTGTGCATCTGTGGGTGGATGTCTTCCTAGAGATGTAATGTTGTAAGGATTCTAATGTGAATGGTTTCAAATATGTATTTGCTAACTGTTATTTGTGTATGAAATTGCAATTGATTTGCATATCCACCAACTGCACTATAGTCACTGAATTCTGACGTATCTGAAGTGTAGGTTTCATGGTCTGGTATATGTATACACATGAAGATGCTTCCAGATAACTGGCAGACAGCAGCATGTTATCTGAAAGTGATGTTAGTGTTGCTTCCATTCCATTTCTATACCCTAACAATTACATATGAAAATACAATTAGGAAAGCTATTCCATTTGCAGTTGAATCCAAAAGAATCAAATCGATAGGAACGTAGTTAGGAACAATAAAAAGTCTCTATTCTAAAAACTACAGAATGTTGCCCACCACAGTTACAATAGATTTAACTAACTGGAGAGACATGCCAAATTCATGGACTGTGAGACTGAATATGGTGAAGATAACAATTCTACCCAAATGCTTCCATAGGTTCCACGCAATTCCTACCACACTTCTGGGATGCTTTCTTTTAGTCTTAGAGTAGTGAGGGAAATGGACAAGTTGACTGTAATAGATATATGAAAAGACAAAGGACCTAGAATAGCCAAAACAATTCTGAAAGAGAACAACACATTGAAAGGCCAACACTACCTGATTTCCAAACTTACTATAAAG